AAACAAAAAAACCCACTGTGTCCAGCTTCTGAGCCAGCACTGTGAAACCAAGCTTTGTTCACGATTACAGAATTCAGTTTAAATTATAGTGGAAACTGGATGCTTTTCAAAGTTACAAAATAGGCCAGATTTCATTTAGGAAAATGTCCTCTACAATGATGCAGAAGATATTTTAGATATTTCTTTTCTATTTAATGTTGGAACCGTGACAAACATGTTCGTCTTTGCTCTAAACATTTCACATAAAAATATCACCTGGCTGACAAATAAAGACTGTGGATACAGTCAGAGCAGGTGGCCTAAGATGACTGGCTACCTATTAGCACAAAAAAGAGGAAAACTGTTAGAAATAGATAGAATAGAGTACCTATATACCCCAAAGGGAAAAGCTGCCATGAGCTCTCAGTCACTAAGTAGGGTTCTGACTGCACAGTGCTTGGTTCTCAAGGCTGGTCCCACCTATTGTTTAGATCTGCTTTAGGAAACAGTAAGGCAGGCAGAAGGAACGAACCTAATGTGTTGCTTCTTGCCTGTGCATTCTTGGCATAGCTTGTTGCCCTTTTCATTTTTTGACTGTGATTTTTTTCCCTCTTGCTTTAATAGTGAAGCCAAGGGTCCACAGCCAGCCAAGTCCCACCGCTCCAGTCTGGCTAAGCCACAGAAAGCCTGGCCTCCTCTACTCTGCTCTCTCTGTCTCCCATTCTCATCATATGTACTACAATATGTACCCCTCTCTCTTTATATTTGTATGTCAATATACCTCCTCTCTTACGTCTCTTTCCTTCATGTTTGTCTATACTGGTCAGTCTGTCTTTTTGTCTCATTTTCTCCCCTCTTTCTTGTCTTGTTCTCTTCAAACACATGCACACAGACACACACAGACGCACACACACACACACACCACCCTCTCTCCCTGCCTGACAGTCTGTCACAGCCAGCGGACTGGTTTAGCAGGCGGGGTTCAGCTGGGCTCCACAAACACATGGCACTCAATCTGCCTTCTTGTGTGTGCTGGAATGGTATTTCTTTCTCCGTGCTGTTTAAAGCTTTCTGTTTAATCTTCTTTTAATTTTATGGACATGTTTAAAAACAGTCAAGTATCTTTATGTTACACTGTAGACGGGCAAATGCGTACTTTTGTAGTGAAATTGATGTCTAAGGTTGGGGAGTTTCTCATACACAGGTCGTTTTAAATATCGTCGTTGTCACGTCTAACCTTCAAAAGCTGATTGCATAATGCTTAGGTAACACTGATATGATAAATGCAATGACGCGCCATCTAAAATTTAGTTGCTCTACAGAAGACATTTGGTCTTTTTTCAACATGACTACAAGAGAGTTTGGATGTATCCAAAAGAGGCAGTGTAGACAATTTGCTCCTCTCTGCGTCTCAATTATAGATCAAGAGCCCCTTGTGTGTACAAAAAACAGAATTCGCCAACTCAAACAAAGCCTGCTTCCTCTTCTGCTCTGCTCTGTTCCTATATGATCAGCACCATTCATTCCGCCACTCAGACAGGAATCTAATTAGACCAGAATATCAACATTAAAACCTATCTGCCCCCCTCCATCCTTCTCTCGCTCTCTCTCTTTGTTTCTCTGCTCTTCCCTACAGCTGGTGAAAGTATGGTTTGTGGCTGCCCCTCCCCCAGGTTTTGAACAAGCCAATAAGAGAGCACGTCAGCAAAATACCCACCCCCCACACCCCCACACACACAGACACACACACCATCCCTCGGTTTCCCTTACCACCCTATCCATTTCCAATCCCATCCCCCAGAGCCCTCTCTACACCCCATCCCCCTTTCATACCACCCCTAACCCACTTACTCATCCTGCCTCCACCCTCCCACACACCCATGAGACTTCCCCACCCTCTCCACTTTCTCACCCGTTCTCACCCTCCGTAGTACCTCCATGGTCCTCGTCTTCTCCATTCCTTTC